CAAATGTCATAAATCCATCACCGTATTTCAAAAGTGGATCGTAGAGTGTGTTGGGTACACCTCCTCGGCAAGACGACGACGATCAAGGCATACGACCCTGGCGTACTCGACGACCCCCGTGACATTATCACTCAACCACTCCGTGTCATCGTCAAGAACTTAGAAGACATAGATAAATTTTCTTTGTAATTTTCATGTAAAATATTTTTTTACAATTAATTTACTTTGTATTTTGTAAAATTTAAATAAATTGATTTTTCTTTTAATTTTATTTTTTTTAAAATTATCCTCGGCCAAACTCGTCACCTCGAGTTCCAAATGCCCGTTGCTGCCCATCTGTCCATTGAATAAAGGTTAGTTTTTTTTTAATTCGAAGGAATTTATCACCTCGATGTGACGAGTTCCATCAAATATTTTTTTAATTTTCTAATTTTTTTTAAAATTTTTTAAAAATACTTTTTTAATGGACTCGTTACTTCGGCGTGATGAGTCATTATAATGTCATTAAAATAATAGCCCAGGTGAGACCCACTACCCGTGGACCATTAAAAAGTAATATCCCATGATGACGAGTTCCGTTTAGACGGTAGTAAATGTCGTATTTTGCCAAATAAATTTTGGGTAGGTCCAATACCCTAAATATTTTACCCTCATTGGCTATTAGGGCAAAAAAAAAAACGATGCACATATTGAGCTTGTGAAATTATGCTCAAACTAGTTTGCTTTCGAATTTAGATATATATATGATCATTTAAATGTAAAAATAATAATAAGCATATTCGTATTTAATGCATATTTTATTAAATTATTGTTTCACAGTATTACGACATGTTCTAAAGAATATAGCAATAGTCTTGTAATTACGAAGCTGCTCCCTGAAGCATATTACAAAGCAGGATTAACCTGTTCTCATTCAGAAACTGTGGGATGAAGATGATTTAAAATCGTGTTACGAAGATACTAAAACATAAAATTTGCACCATCTGAAAGCTAGTAAATGGTGGAATGACCATCCCCTCTTTGGCTGGGTCCAGAATAAGCTTGAACTACCTGCAATGTCTTGATTGAAGTAGGAGTAATTGGATGGTTGAGAGGCCTAAAGGCCCCCACCTCTGCTAATTGAAATAGGATGAGAACAATGACGCCAATGAAGATAGGATTCAAGGCAAAAATTACTATACGTCGAGAGATCTTCATCATGTCGTTGCTATTATATTACTAAACTGTAGTGGCTGCTGCCTGCGCTCCTACGGTATTGGAAGACTCCAAATTTTTGTTTGGTGGCTGGCTGGTCGATTCTTTGGGGGTATAAATAAGGGTAGACGCAACACGCAGGGCCTTGTCCTTTTCTGACCCTGTTGAAAAATGAAGAATGTTTGAAAATGTTATAATACTAATGTTTAGAGTAAGACGATTATTAAATGGTTATTATCATGGAACTTGTTTGTTCTTTTCTGGCCCTGCTGGTCTGCTCGATAAGTATTGCATGTGATCTGCTCACATTACACTTTCGGGTAAGACAAATCTACAATTACGGATATTTATGGAATTCCAGGTAATCAAAAGATTCATTACCATACTATATTGAAATCAAATAATATATATAATTTGAGCCCGTGACTAATCATGCAAGATGTCAACAGCTTGTGTATAGTCAGCTAAGTTTGGTAATGGTATAGAATGTTTGAAACTGCACGGGCTCGGCCATGTGTATCAATCCTTCAAATGCGGCACGGTCTGCTCTGCTGTTTCAGGCTTCTATAATCGTCTTTTGAAGGAATTACTGTTTTACTTTTGTTCTACAATAGGGGAAGGAATAAACAATAAACAATACTCAGCGTGGTTCACAAGGTTTGCGGAGAACGTTGAATGCTTCATTTGTTCACAGCCTATTGGTATAATAAGATTTTAGAATCAAATCAACTTAGACTGGAGGATTTTAAGATAAGGACATCAAGGCTCACGAGGAGTATATAGCCGTAAACAACATGCATAAACTTATTTTTCATTCATTTTTCGTTGAATTTAGTCCATAGTTTGTCCCAGTCGCTAAAAGTTATTTATAACTCTTGCCAAGTCATCAACATTTCATGACGAATATTTTTTTAAACTCCAATAAAAGATGATCTTAACAAGTTATATTTATTTAAAAACTTTATTAGATATATTTTGTTCTATTTTCTAAATATTTTTTGTGCATCCATATATATTTAATTTCTTAAAAAGGATGGGATACATTGATATTTAGTATTATAATATATTTAAAATTTCAATAAAATACATTAATGATCACTTAATATTGTTCAAATGAGTATTTTCCATAAATTTTTAAATTTTATAGAGTAATCGTTAAAATTTATTTAACTATTATAAAATATCACTGTAATATTATACAAGTTTTAATGATTATTTTATAATTTTTAAAAATTTATAAAATAATTATTTGAACATCATAATAACATCTAACATTTTTATAAAATAAATAATTTGAAAAAAAATGTAATGGAAAATAAAAGAAGAACCGCGTACTAGATGTAAAGACACGGTTGGATGTTCGGTAGTGTGTGAAGCCAAACTGGGTAGAACGTGGCCATGCACACAGAAAGCAAATAGGCTCACTTGGTTAGATTTACTTTATCTATCCGTTTTGTTTAAAATTTAAATATTTAAAATAATCATATTTAGTCATTGATAGAGTTGTTTAATTTTTTTTTATATTTTCTTTATTCATGAATTCTATATTTAATAGAAATATTTTACTTTTTCTTTCTTAGAGTATTTTATTATCTTCTTTATCTTAATCTTTTATTCCTATCGTTCCTAGATACAATTATAATTAGATTTAAAATTTATCAAATATTTAAATATTTACAGCCGAGTTTGTAAGGCTTGTAATTTTCTTATAAATTTCGATACTTCTTACCTTCTTCCCCGTGACATCATGTTGTGTATATGTTAATATGCAGCAAAGGTGGGTTTTTCTACTCAAATAATATTAGGGTAAAATATATAATTTTTCATTGAATTTTACTCTCTTTTTTCTATTCACTTACTGTATTTTTAATTTTTTTATTTTATTTACTGAACTTCTAAATTATTCTTGTTTTGATCACTTTGAATTGTTATTATTATTTTGATATGATGTGTCATTTTTATTATTGTTTAATATAAAAATAATTGAAAATATAAAAGATAAATAGAAGATAGTCGTCCACTGTTCGTCGACGTTGGAAGCCACCATCGACGGTCTTAGATGGTGTCCGCTCAGTCCCAAATAGGAATGACAACAGGTCGGGTTGGGTCGAGTTTTTCTTCAACTTGACTCGACCTGAAAAAATATATACCCTCTATATGAATCCGACCTGACCCGACTCGAAAAATATATACCCTCCACCCGACTCTAACCTGACCCGAGTTTTTATAGTATAAACCCGATCCAACCCGACCATACCCAATATAAAATAATGATTTAATTTAAAAACAATAGATAGAGGGGTATTATAGAAATCATCAATAAATTTGTTTGAAGAAATTACACTATTACTTCGAGTCGGGTTGGGACGGAGTTTTTTCATCCTTCACTAGAACCTAACCCAAACTTTATTTTTTTAAAAATCTGACCCTATCTTATCAAATCAGTTTAAAATCCATCAGTTTAGAGTTAAATTGTCATCTTTAGTCTCAAATTTCATTGGCCGCTTCATCTTGACCTATTGAGTCCGAATTTAACCTATATTTTATCGAAACATGCTCCGAATCCAATCAAAAATGAGAAAACCGAAATATCGATCGTCGTTGAAAATCGTAGATGGTGGTCATTTGATCTAGGATTTCATGGATCACTTCACCTCGACCTTGTAGGTTCGAATCCGACCTCCATTTTGTCAGAACATACTATGAAGACCACGAATAAGAGATCAAAAGTGAGTAAATCAAAACATTTCAATCGATATTCACGAGTTTTGAGACATTTTCAGGTGAAATAATCACCAAATTCGAACTCATGGGGTTTAGGCGAATCAACCTATGGAATTTGGGCCGAACGATTACTAGTTCTAAAGGTTGACGGTGGGCGGTGATTATTTTATATTATTTTATATTTTAATAATAAAAAATGTCATGTCATACCAAAATAATAATTAAATAATTTAGAGTGATCAAAATAGGAGCAATTCGAAAATTCAATTAGTTAATTGGAAAAATTAAAAATACAATGATTGAAATAGGAAAGAGAATAAAATTCAATGAAGAATGATGTAATTTACATATATTATTATTATTATTAATTATTTGATAAAAAATGTAAAAATATACTTATAAAATGATGCTTATTTTTATTCAGTGTCCTATGTTAACAAAATTAATATGTTCTTAATTTTAACAAAATTAATATGCTTGTTTTTAATTTTATATACATATAAACTATCAATATAAATATTATATACTTTTACATCATACTTGTACACATATTAAATATGATTTTATTATATAGAATCATATCATCAATAATTATATAAAGTATTATTTTTCTATTAGTCGAGATTTAATAATTTTGTATCTAAATATAATTATAAATTATTATAAATTATTCACATCAAGATACACATTTAATCATATTTTAAATAATTTTTAATATTAAGTTATACATAACTTATAATAATAATATGGGTAAAAACTTGTGAATATCCACAACATTTTTAAACAAAATAATTATATAGTAGCTTAGTAGATCTTTGCATTGACCCGCAAAAAAAAAAAAAGAAGTAAACCCAATTTTTTTAAAATATAGTTATAGTAAAGGTTAGAGGACGGAGAGAAAGGCGGAGTCAAAGAATCCCCTGTCAAAAGGACCCACTTCCGCAAAGCTCCTCGTCGTCCTCATCAAGCAAGATCCTTTTCTATATATAGACAGAGCGATAGCTAGCACTGCCACACCAATATTTCAACGACTAAAGATTACCCAATTCAAAGCAATTTAAGGAGCATTTGTTGTGTTAAAGAAGATCAAGAACAACTAGCTCAACATCTTTCATTCATCAATGAAGCGTGTCCTCTTTGTGCTGGGTCTATTGGCGTTGCTGGTTTCAATACAGCTACATGCTGTCCATGGGCGAGCCCTTCGTTCAACCAAGACGGGGGGAAATGTGGTTGTTCCGGTAAGGCAAGGAGAAGGGGGAGCTGATGATAAGGCGTTGCCGGTGGGTGTTCCTTCGTCCAAGCGAATGGCTTTTAGATTAGCCTCGGGACCAAGCAGGAAAGGTCCTGGACATTAATCTTAATGCATATTATCGGGGACTCGTTTTTTCTTTCCCCCAGGTGGAAGCCTTCCACTTGATGCACAGATTAGTAAACTACAGCTCTTGTTTTCCTCTTTAAGCTCCGTCAGGGTCAACAGAAGATTTGTTTTCCCATTCGTTTAAGAAAATAAGTTTTTTATTGTATTTGTAATTTGACAGTATAGGTAGTGACTAGTGATACACTTTTGATCAGAATTAGGATAATCTGTATACTTTTTTATAGTGAAAAGATGGAAACTATATTCTTTTTGATGACGAAGAATTGATTGATGATGTGCTTTAAGCTTTGTATGATTGTCTACAACTTCTCTTTCTTTTTCCCTCCAAGAAAGTAAGAAGAAGTCATCGTAGAGGTGATCTAAACACATCTGAAAAGCAAGAACATTGGGGATCTAATAATGCGATCTAAATCAATTACCAAACCCCGAAAAACACAAGCTTAAAAAGAAAAGCACGGATATTGCTTTGTCCTTGCCGATGTGTTACTCTGTCGACTATTGCCTGCCTGCCTCCGTTGATATTGATAAACGATAATGTTAACAACCCCGTCGTAAGAGCTGAGCTTGAGATGGATCACAGATTAAGAACACCGTCAATAAGGACTTTAGATTTCCAATGTTATATACCCTGTGAAGGAAACAACTAATCTATGAATTCTTTTATTTACTTGTATGTTTGTATCATGTTCGTATTCATCCTATTCTTTTCATTGTGAAATTTAGTTGAAATATTTTCCAAGTATTTTGGTCAAAATAAAATTGCTTTAAGCTTTCGGCTTTGTTTTTGCTTAATGTTGTCAAATACTGTCACCTAACTCTGGCAAGGCAACACCGCCTTCTTCTGTCCTTTTGTGGATGAGGATGTGTGAAATGTGCACCAATAATATAAGCAAATGCCACATTCCTAGTCAAATATTCGATTCTGAAAGTCATCAAATTGTTAGGAAAGCTGGTGGAAGTTTTGAAAATTGAATTTCAAATGTTACTATCATGGTTATCAAAACCGGACCGGATCGGCGGTTCAACCGGTTGAACCGTGAACCGGTGGCCTGTCCGGTCCGATTATCTCACATAATCGGTCTAGCAATAAACCGACTGAAAATCGGTAAAACTGGGGTGAACCGGCTGAAAACTGATTTGAACCACCGGTTCACATTTTTTCTTTTAAAAAAAAATTAAACCAAACAACGTCGTTTGTTCAACGAGCCAAGTCACATTCGAGTATTGCTGAGCTCGACTCGAACTCGAAAACTTTAAAAGTAAGCTCAACTCGATACAAAAACTCACGAGCTAAAAATTATCAAGTTCAACTTGAACTCAAAATATAATATTAAAACTTGAACTCGAAAAGGCTCGAACTCAAAAAAAATTAGAAGTTCGATTGAAGCCTAAAATTTGAGCTCAATTGAAGCGAAAGAATAGTTCACTTTGTGCTCACTAAAAGGCTCCATGATTTTGAATGTCAAATTACCTCTATTATTTATAGAAGTAAGTTGGGATGCTCTTCTATGTTTCTTAGCCATGTGCGATTTTTTTTAAAAAAAAAAAAAATTAAACCAAATGACATCATTTGTTATGATTTTTTAAGCCTCAATTTTATTTTTTTGATTATAGTTATATAATTATATTTATTATTTAATATATTTTACCTTAAATATTATGTTGTAGTTGATTTGAATCATTTTGTTTCACTTGATTTTATGGTTTTTAATTTATATATGTTATGACTTATGATATTATTATACCTTTTAATATTGTAAACTTAAAAAAATGTTACATATATATTAATATTGTTTTGAATATTATGTAAAATTAAAAAAAATTATTTTATATAAAATCCGGTTCAATCGCAGTTGAACCTAGTTGAACCAGTAAATCAGTACCTTCACCGGTTCAATGTCTAATCCGGTTTTAAAAACATTGGTTACTATATGCATTCGCCCAAAACTCAGCAATTTAAGTAGCTACGAAATACTCTTTTTTGACACCCTGCAAATGAAAACAAAGTGGAACACATCTGCCACTTCACTTCCAAAGCTTCTTTTTCGCTACGAAGGCAAATGTTCAATTAGACCACTTATTCTGCCCTAGTATACTCAGGGATGGACCTGGGGAGCGGGTGGGATGGTTGCCCTCTAAAAATCTAAAATTGTCATATATTTTAGATTTTTTTATGTATTTTCTATTGAAATATGTTTTCGTCCCCCGCCCAAATTTTATAAGTTCAAGTTCGCACCCACTTACTTAAGATCATGCGTCCGTCCCTAAGTATACTCGTTTTTAAACAGCGAAAATAACGCCTCTGGGAGTATGTGGAAAACATGAGCTCCAAAAGGTAGAATCCAAGCCATTTTTTCCATGCCATGCCAAAATAACTATATGTTGCACAATCGTAAATGATATTCCCCGCATGCATCATGCAACAATCGAACAACTTTCAAGTTATTCATCTCTATTATGGTTTTCCTTATACCCAAATTCCATGCACAACACAATCTTTTATAAACTCCCCAAAATTCCAACTTAATAACGGTGCAACAGCCTATACTTTTCAAGAATCCCAACATCCATTGACCCTTGTTATCTCGAATCACCCTACCACACGACGTTAGATCAACATTTAACCTTTTCGTCTCATCCGTGTTGATTTTAACCCTTTCCATCGGTGGTGGTTCCCATTTGGTATTATGATCAGCTTTCATATTGCACCGGATTATTTATGTTAAGGTTCGAGTAAAGAACTCCAGCTAATGCACGTTGAATCGTTTCTTCCATATTCTGTGATTAACTTTTATGTGGTACATAAATGAATAGATCAATTATTATATAAGTTTTGAATAGTTTTTCAAAAACTAATTCTCACAAATTTAAATTTAAATTTAAATTTATTAATAAAAACTCAAGTATATATATATATATATATATTTGTTCAAATTAAACAACATTAAGTTGCTAAAATTACCGAATGAAATTATTTTATTAACCCATACACTAGAACATGAGAAAAAAATAATTTTGTTACAAAATTATTAAGAATATTTTAGCCTTCGTACCACTGTTTAAGGAACAAAATTCTCCGAGCAAAAACATTCAGAAAAGGAGAACAGCAACCAAACAAAACAATGGTAAATTATCGGGAAAATTTTGAAACAAAAAATCCCGTACTCTTTTAACAAGTTTCCCCAAAATGAGTTGCTGGGAAAGCACTTGCATGGAGCTCAATCCTCAAGCCCCACAAAGTCCTAGCAAGCAAGAAACTGGGAATAGTCTCAACTCAAAAACCCAACCATGGTGGGAGAGGGAATACGGTCAGTTGGACTAGAGCTATTTGCGCAAGCCAAATGAAAGTGCACAGCAGACAAGGAAAACTGTCTGATATCGAACTTCAAAGTTCAATCTAGTTAGTTTATAAAGTTATTTTTAAAATATGGCATCCATAATTCAAATTCTTTTGTTTTCCAAACTTACACAACTTTTTCTATATGCATGAAAAAAACTCCAACAATAGGTGAATGCAACACAAAGTTTATGAGAACGGAAGCTCACAACTGTCAAGCAATCACCAGATGGAAATGAAGCATGATAAAAACAAGGTTTAAATATTGATTATTTCATTTACCTTTGAAAATGAAGTCGGATGATATCCACCTACAATTCAAACATCAAAAGAGAATACAGGATCCAATGGCATTAACAACATAAAATATCATCCAATCAAGATGCTAGCTGGAGGTATGGGATAGAGAATGCCACCAGAAATTCGACTATGTTGCAATGCAATGCAATGCTTAAGCTACGACAAGAATCGGAAATAATAGTTGAGAGGAAGGCTTGAAGCTGTCAGAGAAATCAACTAATGCACTACCTATCATGTTCATAAAAAGATTCAGTGTCATAAAAAGGAAATATCTACCTATCATGTTCATACAGAAAAGGGATAGGTCGTTCAAATTCAAGCATGTATCTACCTCATTCAGATCAACTGGATGTTTATATTACAAAGAGATAAGTTCATAAGAATGCATTTCCAGTGAATATCTACTCTTTCTCTATAGCACCAATACTATCCCTTGCCTACTGGACTCTAATTCACAGCAGAAATCCCCTATAATTTCATATCTTGATGACTATAATGAATCCAAGAATCCCTTCAGATGCAAATTAACTTTCCAAATCAACAATTATTCCAGCAACCCCCGGGGCCAAAAAATAGAATAAAAATGAATTGAAGAAATGACCTAAATAAAATGCAGATACCTATTCCGCTTAGAAATCCTACATCTAAACTCATACATGATTTTCAACTGGATCACTCCTGATTCCATAATGTTCTGCAAGTTCAGAACAACAGATGTCTAATTCCTATGAAACTAATGACTGAATTTGTTGAAACGGGGGATGAAACACACACTGTAATAAAGTCACAGAATGCTGAAATGCTGATGAGCTATAATGAATACATAATATCAATGAATAACAATTCAAGCACCCTTCATTTTGCACTGTATTAATGAACAAAGCAAGGATCCATCAAGATTACAGGAAACACAGAAAAAACAAAAAACGCAAGATACTGACAGATATTATTAATTTATTATCATGCTATATAAGCAATTAAGTATCTCGCAATGATCATGGTATATAAGCAAGCAAGCAAGCATCCCGCAATAGTTAATAGTCCGTACAAAACAGATCTAATAAACCCTAGCAATACCCATTATCAAGCTAAACAACAAAGAGGACCCTAAAGAGACGAGAGTGTTCAAACTCAATCCTCGTCCTTGACCGAGAAGGACGAATTCTCCTCAGAAACCGCAGTTCCCACGTTATTCGAGTCTGCCTCTGCCGAACCTGAGGGAGTAGAGTCAGCGGCAGTTCGAGCTTTGACAGCATCGAGCATACGCTTGCTGATTTCCTTGGAATACACCTGGAGAATCTCAATGCCATCCTCGTCAGTGGAAAACGATGCCTCGGCAACCGAAAAAGCCTCCTCCTCGATCAACTTGGCCACGGCGCAAGCCTCTTCCTTAGGGATCGTTCCATAGCGTTTGGAAAGGACGGATTCGGACGACAGCGTCTCCACAAGACGGTTGAGGACAGCGACACGTGTTCGTTGGGTGGGTGGCCAAATTTTAAAGGTGAGGTTGCTAAGCTTGGCGGCGGTGTCGTCTACTTGGGTTTGCGTTGCCGCAGTAGAGTCGTTAGCAGTCGGGGATTCGGGGTCAGCCATTTCTTTGGGAGGGGGAAATCAG